TAAAATTGAATTTGTCGTGAATAATAATCATTTGGTAATGTGTTCCATTAGATTAAGATTTTTCTCTCGCTGACTGATTCTAGGAATTATGAATTGTTTTGCTCGATGAAGTGTTGCGGAAAGTTGACAACCGTTGGTTTAATGAAGCATCTTCTATGATAAAAACAAATTTCAACAGCTTAACGCGTTAGACATTTTTAGGCTCTAGTGTAAATGAGGCATTAGACGTTGGGAATAACAAAACGTGTTTGTCGAGGTTTTTCTGAATTATCATTATGGTTAGGTATGAAATAACTCATCAGTGTAACGCGAACCCAAGATCAAATAAAATATATCTTTCTTTACCACCGAGTTCAGAAAGTTACCATTTTTCCTATTCTGTTTACGCAAGTGGCTCTTTTAACATTGTTGATCCTAGTATTATGCAGGACGAGTGTAACATGAAAATTACGTGCTAGCCTTGCCCACCACAGAATCTCTAAGACTCAGTGGCAGAGTAACGGAGCCCGGAATCAGAAGCCTCAATAGTCCATTTTACAGTTACGTGCTTGGTTGTCAAGCCTTTAAACACATTGAGGCTAAGGGTTACCTTGTTTTGATACAAACCTTGCTGCTTTTCAAATGTATATTACTTTGTTATCGTGCTAACTAGATACTGGTCTCTATCGCAACATGGTCAACTTCAGCCTCACTCCAAATCAAAGACTTAGCAACTAACTACACAACTTTAAAATGGCCTATTCCTCAGGAGCTCAGATTTTATTTGTCTCACGCTCGTGACAAGACGAAAAACATCTTTACTTGTCTGAAAAATATCTTTCAGAACCGAGCAACCCACTCAGTTAAAAATAAGAGAGATAGCTCATTTCTTAAAACATCACCTAAGACTTGCTGCGCTGAAATATTTTGGATGGACTCTTAATTATGTGCATTTGACATTGGTTACGTGTGTCGTCACCGAAACCTCGTGGTATTTCATCACTGTACACTTAGCTTACTCTCACAAGTTCCTCAACGTAAAGGTACGTTAATCCTCCAGTAACCTGAGATTCAATCAGCGACTTACAATGGAGGAATTTTGTCGTTTAGTTCAAAGTAAACAATATTCTTCTAAAGGTGTCGGTGCAGACCCTATTCTACGTCAACCAATTAAAGAAGCGGATTTGCAAACAGCTTCATGATGAATGTCATGTAAGACATCGGCTAATATCACAAATCAACAAGCGTAACTTATCTTCTCAAGGCTTAAGAGAAAGCGAAAAACGCAAAACGCGAGACTTCTTTTGTTCTAAGGCATGCCAAAACAGTAAATCTAATATAATTTTACCGATAATATTTTCAACGTGGTCTGCCATACTCCACTGTATCTCCTCTAAGCGGCGACTACTTGAAAGCGAAAGTTCAGTGCCTTGCCTAAAAATTAGGTTCTTGCCTTGCATCTGCGCGCTCGTTTCATCTTTGGCAACTCCACCGTCCTCGGCTCAGCTAGCATGTTGCTCACTACAAGCTAACTAATCATCGTCAGAGTCATTGTGAAGAAAATCTTGGAATGTCGAAGTTTCATCGCCGTCTGAGTTTTCACCATCGGCCGAATTTCCGTCTTCGACACATTTTCGAGAAGTCGATGGATCGTGCGAGGATCTCTTTCGCCGTTTTCTTCGGCGTTTCTTCACCTCGCTTCCATCCGCTGATCCTTGAGTGTTGTTTTCTGAACGTTGTGACGAATTCTGACGACGAAAACATTGTTGGCAAATTTTCACAGTCGAGTAATCTCCAATTAAAACTGTACCATTTCTGATCAAGTCCACGTTTATCACATCTACATCGGTGGCGTCGATGACTTGTTGTCCATTAAAATCGCAACATTGAGGGTTGATTATTTCCATTCTGTTATTTCTTTTAGCAGTAGTACTTTCAGAATTGTTGTTATGAGGTTCTTGTTTACTATCACACTCGGCCATTAAAATCTAAATTGTATTTTCTCCACGTTGTTCGTAGATGGATAATTTAAACCCATACGTCTTGCTTTTGTGATATCAAATCGTCAGTGATGTTCTTCGTTACAACTGATTCGTTCAGAGTGAAGGATGTATTTCGAAACTGTATTTATGCATCAAAATATGGTTCTTTATGCAAATGATATTGCGTCGTGTGTTTTTTTCGGTTGGAGAAAACCATGATATAAAAAGAAAGTGATGTCACATCATGCCTGATAAAAAATTAAAAATAACGTCACGGTGGCATTTGGCTGCGAAGTAGTCTGGCTGCAAAGTATTTGAGTTTGAGAACTAGAATGATCATTCTTAGTGAAAACTGTTATTGCGGACAGCTCACGAACAAAGACCATACTAAAAGAGTTGAAGCAAAATCGAATCAACTCGGGCGAATTTCTAAGAATCGATTGTGTTACAACTGAAGTAAAGTAAGGATTGATCAAAACAAGATCTTTGTTATGATCAGCTTTCAATTTGTCTGAAACGACATCGTAAAAATAGACAGTTACGGCTTTCATCACGGAGAAAATTTTTAGTTCAACTTTAATGACAAAGGAAACGCTTAAGTATAAACAGATGAATTCACCTAGCTGTTTAGCTTCCCAATATTTTAGGTTTGTCTCTGGCTTTAAATTCAATCCTAAAAAAAATTATTTATTCTTCATAAACTACAT